CCATCTAGTTCCAGAACATTTCATTACTCCCAAAGGATACTCAAAGCCATCTCTCCTCATGCCCAGAGGTGTGGGGTTTAGGGGTGGTGAGAAATTCACCAGAGACAGACTGGAAAGCAGAACAAGCAGAGGTACTGAAATACACCCACAGCGGGTGGGTCAGGAGAGGTCTGCTGTCCCAGTGGGTCAGCTCCCTGGGCAGGGATTGAACTCGTGCTGCAGTGGTTTCAGATAGCTTCATAGTGCTGCACTGTAACCTGTTGCTCCACAAGGGAGGTCCTTCCCCCACGTCTTAGCTATGAATCGTGCTGCAGTGAACAGTCAGGGTCACAGGTTTTTGTTTAAATATTTGTTTTCAATTCTTTTGGCTATGCATCAAGGAATGGAATTGCTAGCCAGACACGGCAAGTCACTCATTGTATAATTCAGTTCCTAGAAATATTGGGACAGGCAAAGACAGAAAGCAGGATAATGGCTGCAGGTTAATGAGAACTGAGTAAAGGGGGCATGAGGAGAGATGGCTTTGAGTATCCTTTGGGGGTAATGAAATATTCTGGAGCTAGATTGTCCTGATGACTGTGTGACGTTGTGGACATAGGAAATGCCACTGAATTGTGCATTTTAAAAATTTCAAGTGGTAAATTGTATGGTACATTTAAAAATTGATGTATGATTCATCTTTAGTTCTATAAAAACGCTTAGGAATTTTACCAATGCAGATGTCACACTGCCTCCTCCCTTCTCCCTCCACCCTTTGTCTTGGTCTCCAGCCCCAATGCTGATGCTGAGTGGGGCCCCAGGGACCTCCCTCTAAGAAACACAGCTGGAGGGCTTGGTAATCTTTTATCTCTGCAGGATTTTTCTTTGGAATGGACTTTGCTGTTACTTAATCTGTCCCACATTAAAAACAAAACCAGAAATGAACAGCACAGAAAATTCGATCTGTATCTCTTCCAATGAACTAGGATTTTAAAAACAACTCTAAAGTTGCCAGAGGATAGATTTAAGGAGCTGGAGAATTCAAGCATCTCAAGAGGTCCTTTGGACAAATTTCATATCCCAATCTGGCCTTTCGGATATTCTTGAAACTGACTGAATTAGGACAGTGGTGAATATGAAAATTACCAGAGTAGTTATTTCAAATGCCTATTTCTTGACCTCAACTCAGACTCTGACTCTACTGAAATAGAGGTGGAGTAGTGGGTGGAGTGAGGTGATGTTGGGGGTGCAGAGATAAGGAACCTGTATCTTTTACAAGCTCTCATGGTATCCTGACATAGCCAGATTTGAGAACCACTGATCTAGACCAGTTCTGAGCTGATTCATTATGACTTTCCCCATTCATTACAACTTTTTCCTTGGTGTCTTCTTTTCCCATTTGTGACAGATATTCTACAGCTGTGTGCTCTGTAGACCACTGTGAGATTAAATGTTACCTTCATTTTTCTTCAGACAGCTTCCCCAGCAACATCTTTCTACACCCCTCCTCCTCCACAGCAGAGTGAAGCTTTAATCCCTTTTAGAAGAACTGATCACACTGCCTCACTTTGCTGTCTAGGTCTGTGGGAGGAGCGTGGTATGAGCCACACCTGTTATCTTTGACCTTGCAAGCCTTAGAGAGGTCTGATTCCATAAGGCTGACTGGTTAGATTTCTTAGGACTTCATCTCTTATGTATCCTACCTGGAAAGAAGCTTTTTATTTATTTTTTTAATTTAAAGATTTATTTATGTTTGTATACAGAACTGGGGTATAGGCCAGAGGTGCAGGGACGGTGAGAGGATTCACCAGAGACAGAGTGGGGAGCAGAACAGGCCAACTAACAGAGGACACTGCTGAGGGGAGCAGCGGACAGGTCAGGAGAGGTCTGCTGCGCCATGTGGGTCACCTCCAGAGCAGGGGATCGAACTCGCACTGAAGCAGCTGCAGCCAGTTTGCAGTGCTGAGTCCTAACGTGTTGTGCCACCTGGAAAGAACAAGTTTTATTGATGCACCAATACAAGCTACAGCCTCGCTTCCCAATCTGCATAGAACAAACAGGGCATTCCCAAAGGAGAAGCTCCTTTATGATTCTCAGGTGGTGCCTCTGGTGGTTTCCACGAGAGTCTGCAAATCGGAGTGGTCTTTAAATAGATCTATTTGATTGGGGGGGGCATAGTGTGCAGTGAGAAGGCAGATGTGTGAAGAACACTGGGTGCTACCCCTGTAGCTGTATCCCCAGTTTATTTGGGCCTGAGTGGGGTGAGAAGGGGCTCTCTCCAGGGCATGAGCTTCCTGAGGAACAGCACCTCACTATTTTACACCCTGACATTTTACTCCCCTGTCTTCTCCATCCCCCAGCACACAACACAACAGTGTGCCAAGTGAATGAGCTCTGGGTTTGAGGTTAGAAACTTGCATTCAACTCCTGATGGTGCCTCTTGGCAGACAAGTTTCTGGGCCTCTTCTTCATCCTCATGATGGAAATATGAATTATATTATACCCTGGGTTGCCGCAGAGGTGGTTGTCACGGAGCCAGTGAATAAGGAGAATTGTTTAATATGTCCTATAGGAAAATGATGCAGTTTGATAGATTAGACAATAACTCCATTGTTCTTGTTGTCAAGATCTCTTTTAAGACAGAAAGAGGTAAAGGGTGGCACAAATAAAGCACCTTTTCAAGGTAGTCATTGTTCTCATTTTTCCAGGAAGAAAACCAAAGATTTTGAGATTGACATGTTCAGGATTCCAAGCCACAACTCAGGGCCAGGTCAACGAAGCCCCCCCCCCCCACACACACACACCAAGTCCTCTTTCCTCTGATCTTGTTTGCAGGCACTTATACTGGGGCCAGGCTCTTAGAAGAGACTTCTTTAATGAAGGCCAACTCAGCAATATTATTTCAAGGGCGAATATGAGGTCTGCTGAGTATAAAGACCACCCGATTTCTATGTAACTACTCCACCCTATTAAGTGGCCTGCCTTACAGACTAGAAAATTTGTGTAGGTTGCAGGGACACTGTCGTCTCCAAACTGTTCAATGAATCTGCCTGATCTGGCACCTTCTGACTAAGACCTCAGTTCCCATCTGAAGGAAGGGTAGTGGTGCTGGTTTATTTTTGTCTCCATGACAAACCAACATTGAAGCTCTGATTGCCAATTCTTCTTATTTTTTTTTAAAGGGGAAAAAAATGTAAAACTTATTTTGGGCGCTCTCTATTCTCTACTTTTAAATAATGCCTAACTAAGGGGAGGGAATTTGGACTGTAACAAGAGAAATAAGAGAAGGTTCTCTGTTGGGAAGTAATTCAAATCTGTAGCAGTTCAGTTCAGTAGCAGGAGCTAAAGAAGCAGGTGCCATCACCTGCTGAGCCAGTAGGCTCAAGGGCCTTTATTTCACATGACAGACAATCAGTATCCACACAAATAAAGACACTAGTTAGAGAAAGAAAAAAAATTCAATCTGATGTTGCTGAATTTTCCCATGTTCTGTGGTATTTGGATAAAATAGAATGTTTCCTTTTCATCTGCATGTTCGGTATGATGTCAGTCAACCTGTGTCAACCAACCTATCTGTGTAACTTTGACCATTCACTCTGGATTCTTGATTCGTA